GTTCGCGCTCAGCTCGCGTCTTCGCTCCGTGTTTCGCCGTGTGTCTGGGCGAAACGCGGCCACGCAGACGCACCCCACGCGTCACCCATGTCACCGCGCAGCGTGGAGCCCCCGTGGCTCCCAGATCCCCCGGGATGGAGGATTTCCACCCACCAAGCCCCCCGGTGCATTTTGGCACCTTGCCCGGCTTTTATAGGACCTTGGGCACCTGATGCCCCAAGAAGAAACACGTCATTTACTTTTGATGTTATTGAGCCTTTGATTTTTTTAAGCGCTTTACAGCTTAATCTTTCACGGCCACGAAACACCAGCTCTGCCCGTGTCAGCCAGGAGGAGGTTGGATGCTCAGAGATGTTTGTGACCGCGGTGGTGGTGGGGACCAAGTGGGATGGGGTCTGCTGAGGGTGGAGTTGGACGGAGCCCAGAGGGAAGCGAGCTCCGTATGGAGAAGGCTGGAGGATGATGTCTCCTGTGTAGGACACCAGGCCGAGAGCGTGTCCAGCTCCTGCCTCAACCTCAACTGCCCRCTGGTGCCATCGGCAGCCTGTGGCCTCCTGCACATGTCCGGTCCTCGTTGCTGCATCGGGGACAGCAGAGTGATGAACACTGCTAGCGATGGTGAGCTATCGAAGGAGAGAGGTGGTGAGGGCCACACAAGGATGCAGAGGGCTGGGCATGTGTGTCCCCACAGCCAGTTTGCTTCTCATCTTGGCAGCCTTCAGCTCGTGCATCCCCTGGAGACCYGTAAGCTCACGGGGAAGGAGATGTTTCAGTGCTCGCTCTCTGTGCCCATCAACCACAGGCAGGGTTCTCAAAGGCTTTACCTTAGCAGTTCTGGTGCAGGGGCTCCATGTGCCACCTTGCACTTCTCCGCACCTATGTTCAGCCTTTAAAACTTTATATTGGCCACATATCAACATGATGAAGAGAGTGGGACTAGAGACTGGCAAGTGGGCGCTGTCTGCTGCGACTTGTAATTAACCTGTGCAGTGTTAAGGCGTTTCATTGTTAGCCTTGGAGGGGAGGACACCAAGATGACGGGTGTCGTGTGCTGAAAGGCAGGAGCGAGGACACAGAAAGCTGGTTTTAAGTGTGTCTCAGATTTGGAATTGGGCTCCATCTAGTGAGCTGCTTCTGGAAGAGCCTCTCCCAACAGCTCCTGGGCTGTTGGCCGAGCAGCTGTAGGCAGCAGCGGAGTATGGAAGGGGTGATAAGAACCATGTACTGGGAATCTAACACCTATGCAGGGCCCTCATTCCATAGCCTGGTGTTTCTGCTCTGATGTGGAAGCCTTCTACATGTTAACCCTGGCACAGGTACTCTGTATTACTTCAGTATGTTACTCCCCTGGCTGCTGCTCACAGGTGCAGTGATTTTCAACCTGCAGTTATTAGTTATGCACAGCTCTGTTGATTAGTCCAAAGGATCTGTGGAAGCTGACAAGGAAACCAAAGCAGTTCAGAATTAGAGGAGCTTTCGGCATCAGTGGAAAGTTCTTAGGGCCTGCATTGAAACAGGTTCAAGCTAGTGCCAGGGGTGCTTTACAGACTAAAGATCTTAGTTGTTAGTCTTAATTAGTTTTAAATGGGGACTATTCAGCTAATTAGTTTTAAATTGGGACTATTCAGTCTTACGGAAAATGTGGCCTCTGATCAGCATTGCTGATGTTTGTGGTAATGCCTGATGTGAGGAACAGGGCACCCGATTTGCCATGCCCTGGACTTCATCCTCTCCTGTCYGCAGTCACTATAAATTGCCGCATTCCAGCAGATCTGGTGTTCACACACATTGACACAGCTCCCCAGGCCTCAGCACTGCAGAATGAGGGCTTTGCAAAGGCGATTCCGGGCGATATTGCTGTATAAATGGCATAAATCATGYAGTATAAATGGGATGGAATCGGCGAGCGATGGCATTTAGTTCCCCAAGTCACCCGAGAAAACTCGCAGCAAAGACGGGGAGGTAAAAGCACGGAGAGGTTACATGCTGGGGAAATGTCCCCGACACAACAGCACCATCTGCCGCTGCCTGCGGGCTGGGAGCACAGCTTCAGCCGGTTGGACGTTTCTGAAGTGCTGTGGAAAGGGTGGGAATGGGAATGGCGTCCAGAATCATTGTTCTTGGGAGAGGTTTGTGTGTCTGGAGACTGGACTTGGCTTATGCTGTAAAGAAAATTACAGCTCAGGCTTCTGTGCATCTAACTCGTCATGTTCGTTGTCCTTAGGTAGATGGTGCATGATGAGCTCGGAGATGACAGCAGTGTGGCATCGATCAAGAACTTTCCTGTTTGTATCCAGTGGTGAGTTTCTGCAAAAATCGCATTTCCATGTGCCCAGGAAGGTCATGCTGGGACTGTCAGTCTTGTCCCACCCACTGCTGCAGGATCTCTGCCAGTGAGAAATCATTGGGAAATTAACTTCCCATGCTCTGTTGCTGCAGGAGATGAAGCAACTTGTTCCGTAGGTGGATYGGCAGTTATGACACTGCTGATTTATGATCCTTTCAGGAGAAATTCCATGTTTATTTGCTTGTTTTCCTGCTGACATGGAAATGTCCAATGCCTCTCCCTCTGTAAATAAGCAGTGTCCCAGGGCTCTTACTGCACTGGCAACTGCTAGAGGAGGAGGAGCAGGGATGGGGCCTCCAGAAACCTTCTAAATGAGCAAGACGAGGTGTCTGTAATACGGTGTCCAGGTTTAGAAAAGCTACTGTCCTGCACAGGTTTGTATTTCCATGCTGAGAGACGCTCATGCTGTTGGGAAGGAAGTGATCTTGAGCAAGCAGCCTGGAGTAAGGAGGACTCGCACTCCAGACTGTGACACTGGTGACATTGACACTTCCCCTTCCTTCCCTAGAAGCTGTTTTGTAGCTAGCAGATGTAACCCTTCCTAGAAACCATGTTATGGTCCCAGTTCAAGGTGAAGGACATTACTGGTAAAATAGAAGTTGCTCTAGTTTGCTAAGCAGAAAGCCTCGGCTTAAGGTCATCACCTGCGCAAGAGCCATGTAAACCTGGCCAGCGGTGCTGGGAAAAGAGCCTGTTTGCTCATGAACTTTCCTGTCTGGAAGGGTCATAAAACTACTTCATTTTCTGGTTCGTTGTTGGATTTTGGAGGGGTAGAGGCTCTKTTTTATTCTTCCTTTTCATTTTTGTTTTCTTTCTGGTAAGTATGGGGCAGATCCTGACAGAGGAGAACTGGAAGACAGGGGAAAAGAAACACGTACATACTCTCTGTTTCAGCTTAGTATGCACATGACAGACTCATCTAGAGCACCTATTAGAAGCCTTTTTTCTCCTTCTGCTTCCCATGTTGCTCTTTAGAGCTGCTCTTTCCCTYTTGTGCTATCAGAGATACAGCAGGTCCTGGAGAACATCCTGAGAGACCCAAACAAAGAGGTGTCCTCAGGTCACCCCTAAATAGGGAGTAATTTCTCTTTGGTGAAGTTTACACATTGCATCCCACAAYGCAGATTTCTCACAAGACCAAAGAAAAAAACTCCACAGATGTTAGTCAGAGGAGGCAGTGTTTCCGMAAAACACACTGCTGTATTTTCAGCTGATAGTAGCATTTTCTTCCTTGTAATTGCTATTTATCTCCACAAGATGTTGCTACCAAAGGACTAACCTCTGTAGAAATCACTAAAAAACCTGCAGATTTCAGTAAGTGGTACTCCTCCAAACTATAACCTCCCCAGAAAGATTCAGATTTTGTAAATCTGAATTCAGATTTTTTTTGATGAGAAAGCCATCAGATTTTGTAGCTTTCCAGATGAGAGCAAACCTGAGATGTTCCTTTTGTGTGTGTGTATATGTGTTTGTGTGTGAAGAAATGAGGTATCTGAAAGTCTCAAGTGGCTTTGATCCCAAACATGATCCTCCTTGGCCAAGGACAAGTGGATTTGATCCCAAACATGATCCTCCTTGACCAAGGAGACTATGTCCTTGCTCATGCGGGTCTCCTGCTCTCTCTGTCTGATTTCTTACTTGTAGGGATGCATCGATCTGGAGCTTGGAGGAAGTGATGGTTGAGTATTAACCAGCTCTCTTGGCCCCCCTTTCCTTCTAGGGCGCCAGCCCATGGGACCTCTCCAAGCAGGTGCTTGAAGAGGCCAAAGTTTGCTCTCCTGGAAATGATTAAGAAGTTTAAGAGAAGGCTATTGCACAAATGAATAGCCTTGGCTCTGGACAACCTGAGTTTGGACCAGAAAGGCCGGGCTTTACGAACTCAGGATGGTTGCCCCTGTACAGAGGTACAGAGGTTTGTACATCGTGTTGCATCAGCCACCCCCCAGCTGAACCGAGCAGGTTGTTTCCATACTGGAGCACCTAAGGACTATTTTGGGACCTGCTGAGCTAGAACCAGTGGGACCTATGGCTAGAACCACACTGAACGAGCAATGACTGAGCAAAACTGGAACAAATGTCTAGGGGAACTGATCAGGAGTTTAATGCAAGAGCACCGCGTACTTCAAGATGTTACTTAATAGTATCAGATTGCCACATTATTACTTCTGGAAACATCCTGTTAAGGAGTCAAATGAAGACCTTCAGATACTGAGAAATATGTTGTCACCCACTTTCATGATTTCAGCACGTGATGTTTGTGTTTTGCCTTGGGCAGAGATCTGCTTCAGACTCAGAAAAYCCATCTAAGAAGAAAACCCAACACACAGAGCAAGGGGATAATTTGTATTTTTTTGGTTTTCGGTCTAAATCTAGCTGTAGTCACGCAGCGAGGCTCTTCCAGGCCCGGCGCTTACGGTGACGCAGAGGTTCCCTGAGGCCGCCGCGACGGGAGGTTGCGTAGGGAAGGCTGGAAGCCAAACCTGAGGTAAAAGAGCATTAATAAGAGCAATAAAGTGAAATGGCTGCACGTGGCAGAGGCGCTAGGTGGCCCCCGGGCTCCGCCAAGCGCCGCTCGCCCGCGCGGGGATGGCGGCCGCGGCCTCCGCCGCCCGCCTCGCCCCCGGCAGCCCAATTTCCCCGGGAAGGAGCCAAAACAAACAAACAAACAAATAAAAATAAATAAATAAGGGAAAAAGAAGCGCGTGCGGTGGGTAAAAGCCCACCCCCGTCGCCCCGGTGTGGCGGTGGCCGGCGGGGGCGGCGCGCACCTGCCCAGGGCGGGCCCGAGGCGCGCCCCCGCGCCGCCGCACGCAGGTAACCGCCGGTAACCGCCGGTAACCGCCGGCCGGGCTCCCGCCGCGGCGGCGGCACCGCGCGCCCCGCGCTGCCCCGCTCCGCGGCCTCCGCGTTGCCTCAGGGTTTCCCGCCCGCCGCCCTGTGGAGCCCCGCTCTGCTGGCGCCCGCCGGGCCGCTGCCCCGGGACCCCCAGGGTGTTGGGGCGGGATGGGATGGGAATGGGACACCATCCCGCGGGTTTCCACACACAACACGTCTGCAAGGGCGAAACAGAGGCCGTTGCTCTGCTCAGCGGCCTCTGGTTGAGGCTTCGGCCAGCGCTCCTCCTGCAGCACAAATAATTATGTTTTATAACATGGATGTGCACACCAGAGCCGGGTTTATACAGTCTGATACGTTCCTGAGGTGAACRTCTGTTTTTTGGCCTCTCTTAAGGCCTGCCATCTCCTCAAGGATGGAAGGGAGAAAAGTGGCCRGGCAGGAGCACCTCTAATTCCCACTTGTTGCTAACACTCGTCTTTTTATTCAGGACTAAAGTGCCGAGCAAATGGACCTCTTGAGGCGCTTGCTGTGACCACCCCAGAGAAGGAGGTGCGGATAACCCCTGGGAACCTCTTGGATACCGAGCTCTTCCCTGATGGAACAGAGCGCAGGCGACCAGGAATCCCAGCCGGAGAGTCAGGCGGAGAGCAAGAGCCAGCTGAAATCCCTGCCGGGGGGAACCGCACACGTTAAGCTCGAGATAAAGAAACACGCCGTTACGGACGACTACAAGCTCTCCAAGCGGGTGCTGGGGCTGGGAATCAACGGGAAGGTGTTGGAGTGCTTCAACAAGGAGACTGGGCAGAAATGTGCTTTGAAGGTACGTGGGCTTCTCTTCACCCTTGTTGATGTTGGGGAGAGCAGAGTCGCTCCCTCAATGACCTTTGGAGCCGCTTGCTCCGTTGCTTGGATTTCATTAAGGAGGTGGCATGAAGAGGAATTTCAGTGTGTGGCGACGCTTACTGCTGCTGGCAGTGTTGGAGCCTGAACGCGACCCTTTCCGGAAGGTTCTGTGTGAGATTCGAGGGGAATCAATGAAATTATCCTGTTTGTATTAAAGAACAAAAAGCGAGAAAAAATAAACCAAGGAGAGGCAGGGAGAAGTGTGTCTAGGCCTGTTCCCTGTGCAATTTTGCTAGGTTTTGAATGAAAGTACTTGGGAAGGAAACTGCTTTATTTCTTGTGCAATAAAATGGGTGTAAATTGGGAAGTACTTAAATGCTTGTGAGGCATCTGGCTTCCCCCTGCTTGTAGATGTATTGAAGGCATTATCGGTTGAAGATGTGAGCTTGACGGAGACAGTTTATCACAGATATCCACAGCTTTGGAGGGAAGGTGGCTATCGGGAATTTTAAGTTGTTTACTGTCTTACTCTCCTATGTTTTTGTCATCTATTTCCAGAAGATTGTCTGGGAGAACACAAATAATGTCGTTATTGACTAATAAGTTCATCTGTTAACTGAAAACCAATAGATATTGAGGGCAATAAGCATCGCTTAAGCAAGCAGAGTGAAAAACACTCATTAGTGAATGTTAACTTTACTCATCTTTTGCTGTGCARTGTTTGTATTTGGAGATTTTCCTGATTATTTTAGACCACATGACTAATAATAATAAAAAATGCAGCTCAGATGAGAAACAGGAAGGCTGTGATTCGTTAAGTGTGAAAACAAGCTGCAGAAACGGTCAGGTGAGTTAGTCAGGAGTGCTATGGAGCCCTTGCTATAGTTAATCTGATTAGTTTTCAGATACTCTTCTGCCTTTTAAACCTTAAACTCCCCCTGTGTTGACAGAAAAACAAGTCTGTTATTGCTCACCTGGAAGATCTGCCAAGGTCCAGACATGGTCATACTCATCTCAAGCTGGAACTGCATCCTCCAGCAAGGTTCCTGTGCTACTGTAGCCTAGAAATACTTGGTATCTTGGTATTTTTGCAAGATTTTCAGTGGGTGAGCATGTAGTACAATGACTGGGCTGATTCACTTATTCATTCAAGACATCCTCATTTTTGATTTCCCACTGC